GAAATCCCAAATTCTGCCTCTCCTCAAAGTATAATTTCTTTCCCTAATCTGATATTCTTTGAATACATGGATACATAAATGTACATTTATAGATGTGTATGGGCATAATTTTAAATCAATATTTGTAATAACATAAAAATACATTTCCAATATTTTAAGATTCTAATATTAGGACAGAAGCATTCTATTCGCTACAATTATGCTCCTTGGTTACATATATGTTAGAGCAGTTTCACAACAAAATACGTGATCAGGACAAATAAACTATAAGGCAAAGGAAATAGAATGTTTATTCCCCTCAAATAAAAAGAAAACAAGATTTGTTAATATTAAAGTAACATTGGATAAATGAAGTGCCTGAACTTTTTTCTTGAATAATGTAATGTATTTTATGAGTAACTTAAGGGACTATGAAGTGGAGACATCAGCAGGAATGCAAATTTGACAGGGGAGAACAAAGGTTGCTATTCAAACTTGATTATTTAAATTGACTGCCTTTGTAATGATACGTTGTTAAACACTTTGATGTACTTATAGTGAACATTGTAGGAATTTACTACTTTTTGAAAATTGAGAATACTCAGTTTTTTCCTGTCTTGTGGTATGCCAAGCATGAAACTTGCTAGAAGAATAAAGATTGAAAGTGAAGAAATGTCTTGTGTTTGCTAAGATACATCCACTTAAAGGGTTTGATTTCCACTAGAAAAAGTTGTTTTGTTTTAAAAGGAAAGAATGGGCATTTGATGTTTCTCACCTTTCATGATTGTGACAATTCTTTTAGATATCTTAAATTCTCTAAGTGGAGATTTGTCATAATCTCCACAGTACACCTGTTTAAAAATTGTAGGTCACAGAAATCTGAAACTACAAAAAAGTTTTCTCAAGATGATAAATCACAAGGAGTGTAAATTTCAGTTACCTCACCTGTGGGAAAGTTTTTCCTATTACTTTTCAACTCAAAGAGCACCCAGGTGATGGGAACTTTAATGTCTCTGAAAAACTACTTATCTGTACAAATTGAATTTGCATATACAAGTTAGAATTTGAGTTTAGGCTTAGACCTCAACTGTTACAGGTATAATAAACAATGTGGAATTTGATACTTGACCACATTTATTTAATGCAGGAAAAACAGCAATGAAAGAGGTTCATTTTGAAACGATTTTGCTATTGACAGGGGATAGTGTCTACTTTCTTTGTGGTTTTCCCTTATTGACTATGTGCAGGTTACACCTTGCAAAATGCATACAAGAGCAGAGATTAGACAACATTTTACTCCATAGCTTCTACAAAATCTGAATAAGGATGAAGGGTTTTTTATTATCAATAACACCAAGGATGTGTTCTTACAGGCCTATGTTTTCTAAGGATCAGGGAAAGACTATGAGATAAATATTCTGAATTGAACAAAGTTCAAATAGTTCAAACTTTAACACTAACATCTTAGTAAACCTTACTGATATAAAGGTGCACAAGGAGAATCAGTAATTAAGACAGAAACTAAACCTGGTGAAATTAATTTCATAAGCTTGAATCAACCAATTGAAATTCTGTCTATGGAGACTATTGAAGAGCAGTATGCTTCCTTTAGCTGATGTGTTAGTTGCCCCTCTCCTCAGCCATCTTCTCTGATTTTCGTCTATATTAGCAAAATCTTTGTCAGACTTTCAACCTGTTTTGGTCATGCAATTGTTTTTTGACTGTCTTAACCTTAAAATAATTAGTTAGGGCCCGGCGCTGTGGCGCAGTAGGTTATTCCTCTGCCTGCAGCACTGGCAATCCCATATGGGCGCCGGTTCTGGTCCCAACTGCTCCACTTCCAGCCCTGCTCTCTGCTGTGGCCTGGGAAAGGAGAAGATGGCCCAAGTCTTTGAAGCCCTGCACCCGCATGGCATAGCTCTGGCCATTGTGGCCATTTGGGGAGTGAACCAAGGGAAGGAAGACCTTTCTCTCTGTCTCTCCCTCTCACTATCTGTAACTCTACCTCTCAAATAAATAAAATCTTAAAAATAAATTAGTTATTTTTTATTTCATTTACAAATCCATATGAATGACTAATTTTTTTAAAGATTTTCCATGTGTTTGATTTCGAGAGTGCTTTAGTAAATTCCTAGTCTCATGGACAGATGAGAGGGCATTTCATCATCTGGACTGATGATAATATGTTGGTCAATCAGAAAAAAAGTTAACTTATGAATGTAGTATATATTTCTTTGTGTTAATCTTTCATATATCCTTTAATGTTACTGTAGTCTTTTAATCCAGACACCTGAAATTTGTACCACTTCTTCCTATTTTATCCAATGCACACAACAGTTAGTGTTGCTAGACTCAACATGTGACAGGTAATTCGTGGTAATAATGCTGTACCTGAAATTCGGTGTTTTATCTAACATCCAGTATTCCTACAGTAAATGTGCTTAGGCTTTAAAAGTAATTTTTGCTACACTTTGCAATTATACAAATGTACTAGTAAGTCATCCAGCTAGCAGGGTTAAAATGGAAGAAACTATAGCATTAAATATCAGCCATTCCAACTTTATTATTACAGAATTTTTCCAGAAGGATGCTATTTTCTGAGTGGTCATTTGTAATCAGTTATACTTTGGCTTCCATTCAATTCAGGTGCTGTGCAATTGCTCTTTAAAGGCACATCCTAAATGTGCCATCAGGTCAATCACTAATTAAAGTTATTTTCATAGATAATTATATTTTCAACACTTAGTTTGGAGTGAATTAGTCACATCGACTTGTTGCATTACCAAGAATCAAGAGTAACTTGAGGAAATAAAAGTGATTTGGTCCTCAGACCTTTGCTACTTATGTTCTCCATGATTACAATGAATAAGAAAAATGATGAGTGAGAGAGAGAGAGAGAGAGGGAGAGAGATGTCAGAAAAGTAGTATTTTAATTCACCCACTAACATTCTAACAAGTGGCCAACATTGTAGATATTTGTTATTAGAGGTCAAAATTCCAGAATTTGGGGTGGTGTTTTTTATGTCACTTAGAAATCCATATAAATGACTGATTCACTCACCCAAATGCCTGGGAGAGCTGAGAACTCAATCTCTATATCCAGTGTGGGTGGCAGGGAACTAACCACTTGAGCCATCACAGGCTACTTCCCCAGGGTCTGCATTAGTAGGAAGCTGGAGCAGAGCTGGGACTCTAAATCATGCACTGTACTATGGGATGTGGGCCTTCCAGCAGCACCAAACACCTGCCCTCACCAAAGTGTATGATCTTTACTTTTAGATTAGTACCAATGTAATAGTGGTTGAGGTGTTTTAGACAGTCTCTTAGAGCATGAAAAATTTTAACGAATCTTAGATTATATGACACTGTCTGATAAGAATCCTATACAGGAATTAAGAGAAAATTCACCTCTGTTTATATTTAGCTACACTTATAGTAGCTATTCTATTTTTTAATCTTTACATATAGAGGCCAAGATGGAAGATTAGAAAAATGTTTAATATTCACACTTTATTAGAGGTCTCTTTAGGGAACCTAGCTCCACAATGATCATATTTATCTTTAGTACAATTGTAATTAACATGTAAATCTTTTTGATGTTTAAACTTTTCATTTACATTACCTTTTATAAAAATATCTTTTTATAATCAAATAGCAACTATAGATATATAAGATTAAAATGCATTCTCTCATTTAATCTCAACTGTTTCTAACAATGTTACGTTTATTCTCCAGACTTTACGTTATCTGTTCTTGACTCATCAGTCAGTCACTCAGACTTGACACTGTTTGGATTATTTCCAGAGGAAACTTCAGACTTTTCTATCTTGCCATCTCTTTCCCTTCCAATCCTTCTTACACCTTTCACTCACTTACCAAAAGCATTTAAAGACATAATTCTGGTAATATCATATCACTTTGATTTTTCTTTTGTCACTAAGCCTAGATAATGTATTATTTATCTTGTACAGGTCTTATGTCCTCAACTACTTAGCATAGTGCTTTACACATGGAGGATGTGTAAAAAGTCCAGGTCAACTGGATGGATGGAAGGATGGATGGATGGATGGATGGGAAAGAATGGTGTATTACAAGAAAACATATTTTTCTTGAGTAAATTCATACATATCCTAGATTAAGTACAGAGTGTGAAGTACTTCTGAGCTATGCCGTCCAGTATGATAACAATTAACTACACATGCAAAATTTAAATTTAATTAAAATTAGAATTCATTTCTTCAGTTTTAATATCTATATTTCAAGTTGCAGGTAGGCACATGTAAATGCCATATTGGATATAGAATATTTCTGTCATTGTCAAAGGTTTTATTGGGTTGTGCTTCTCAAGAAATTTTTGATAGCAATAGTTGAGAGAAACACATTTTTTATAAAATCATAGTAAAGTGATAGTCATAGAGTAAATATTATAGGCTTCCCATTTACCATATGAAAAAAGCGTAATTTATTGCCATTTATAATGTAAGCCATTATCCCTCAAAGAGGAACGCTGATATCCATATCATTGTTGTCAATTTTTTCACTTAGCCTAAATATATGTTTTGCAATACTAATAATAAAACTCAACATATTTGAATTGGTAAGAAGTTCTCATAATTCCTATGTAAATATGCATTAAATGCATCAACCAATTTGGCCTAATTAGAATTAAGAATACAACCGTATAGGCTGGCTTTTCAAAATCTTTAAAAGCTTCTTCCCTGTGAAGTCTTAGAAATACTTTTCCAGCATATCCTGCCACTAAAAGTATCATGTATATTTTGTTTTTTAATCTGAGAGATCCATAAGATCATATTGAAAGCCTAGTCTTTATGTCCTTTGCCTCCCCTTTTCCAAAATTGAAAATTGTGCAAAGATCTTTAACTTTTTCTTGATTTGTAGCCCTTACAGCAAATTGGAGGGTCCTGCCATATAACAATGGACCTCTGTCATGTGTTGTCTACTTGTTGAATATAGATTTGTGGTTTCTTGAAATCCAACTCAAAGTGTTTGACCTACCACAGGAAAATCCTTTTGTGAGTAAGAAGGAATCCACAGATCACTTGCCAGAGAGGTCTTGCCTCAGCTGCTCTCAACTTTGTTATCTTGTGAAGAAGCTGACAAGCTTGGGTGAGACACTGTTTTGCTATCCTCCTTACAGAATTCAACATTCCTCTTCTAAAATAATATGAATTGATTAAGATCAATCTCATAACTGAAGAAAATTGAAATTGATATGTAGACAAATAATAATTCTTAGTAACATAATATGTGATTAAATTCAAGGACTGCATGATCATTTCCCTCAGAGTCAGGAAGTAAATACTACTAGCTGGGATTACACTTAGTCCATATGTATAGAACCTTGAATCTGTGCTTTCTACTGTTTGATAAATCTACAAATTCCCAATTTTATATATTAGGTTTATGGAATTGTTGTAACGATTCAGTAGATAAAGCCCAATTAGTGGTTGTGTCATTTTTATTTATGCTTTCCATAGCAGACAAGTATAGATAGCAAATACTCCACACCAGTTTGAACTTGGTGAATATTTTGTGCCTACATGGATGATTTGCTGCTATCAGCACTTTATCCATCAGGGAATATAAAATCATTGCATCCCTGAAACTAAAGCAACCTTGAGGATCCTGCTGTAGTGCAGCATTAGGGTTATTTGAACCCTTTTCAGTACATATATTTTATTTAAGTTTCAACTGATTACATTTTATTGGAGGCAAAGACCTTTTTCTTCCCCTTCCTCTTTTTATCCTCCATCCCACAGCTGATTGCAGAGCACTATGAGGACTGTACGAAAGTGGGTTTTAATTCAGATATTTCAAGGTGAGTTTTATATATGTTAAGTACCATTTTAGTATCATATAAGTCTTCTTTCCGTGGGTCTTCTCAGGAGTACTAACTTTATCTAAACTCCCATTTTTCATATTTGAACTTTGATTTTTCTTTGGAGATAAGTTTCAAGTTGAAATGTTAACAATGAGAATGAATGAGAGGAAAGGGCAGTCTGTGTTTCAATACTGACTGATATCATATCAGGAGAGATATAAAACAACAACAACAACAACAAAAATACCACACATTGTAGTAAATATCTCCATTGGCGTGGATGACCATATATGTCATCAAGGGATTGTCAATTTCTAAATTAATTATGAGAAGAGATACAACACTAAAGCTGACTGATGGTAAATTGTGAAGATGCAAAGTCTCTGATGGGTCATGAAGTTATGTCATTAGGATCATTAGTTATCCATGTACTGGTAAATTCCTTAAGTATCTATTTCAGACAAATATTTCTGTAGACTACAGGCACCCTGGATAGAGGGATGATTACTCCTCATTTTTGCATTTCCAACATTTGCTTCAAAACATGTATTAAACAAATATTTTCCAAATCAACAAATGGGGATATTCTAAGTAACGAATATATGGACTTTATTGGGAGGATCATTTGATTTAATAAGCTAGTAGTACATACCTCTCTCCATTCTCATTTAAGTTAATAAAAGGTGTTTAGGATGCTGTTTAAATAAAACCAAGCTTGGAAATAATGTTCAGTGTCATGGAAGTTTTAACTTTTTTAGAAACTTTTTAAGTTTGTAGAGTCAACAATTAATGTGTCCTTAAGTGCACCTCCCTCAACCTGTCACAACACTTCCTCTATAATAAAATAACATTTTTTAAAATAATGCATTTAAGTTCTTTGTCACAACAACCCATTCTCAGCTTCTCTCATGAATGAGACAGAAGAACAGACTGAGATACTCATGTGCTGTTTGCCATTGCTTAAAGGAGAATCTCTTATAAGTACTAATCAGTGCTAAATTTCTCAGGCATTTTAAACTGAATTTAAGCAAGAAAAGATTTTAAAATGTTATTTTACATTTTTACATAATTAATATTTTGGTTCCTTTCCATTCCCTCTGTTACTCACGTGTCACTTTCAGCATTCTCTCCTGGTATTCAAATCATAGTCTCAAGTGTGCCCAAGATCTCCTGGATCCAGTGAATCTCCCTATCTCTCCTTGTCCCTTCCGTTCCTTCAAGTCTCCTCTTCAGTGAAGTCATTCTCAGTTCCATTCTTTCCCCCAAATTACTCCCTGCTCTTTTTGAGTGTCTGTAATTCTTTCAAATGTCCACCCAAAGCTTAAATTCTCCATCTTCCCTTTCACCCCAATTTCCTCCAGTTAAATTTGCATCCCACTTTCTACTGCCTAGACTGTCTGAATACCTCTAGTTCCCTTAGTCTGTCTCAGTGGTGAAGATCTTCCCTTGCTTCGCAGCCATTCTTTTCCTCTCCTTAGTATTCTCATTCTTTCCATGTTTCCTCCACAGTGTTTTGCATATTTTCTGTTCCTCTCATTTTCCACCAGTAACTCACAGTCTTCCTCAAATTATTCAAGCCCCTTACAAGTACTGGAACATAAACTATCATATTATTAGTCTATTTAGAAATAGATTCAATTTACAAACTGCCATGAATAAGACAGGTTTTAGCTTCATCATTGGTAAGATGACTTAATTTTATGCTTTATGTCTACTTAATATGCACACAACATTTTACAGATTTGATATTTAAACCAAGCTCATTTTCAAGAGAACTTGAGATAGTAGAGAGAAATTACAAACATTTAGGAAGCACAGTCCATTTTCTTAGTAGTGTTTTACCATTTAGTTAGCAAAGCATAATTAAACAAAGATAAACATTTTATTTAACAAGATATTCAGTTCAAAACAATATTCTGTACAAATTTTAAGGGGTGAAGGAGAAAGATTGCATGAGTACACAAACATGGTATTTGAGTGCACATAACACATAGTATTAATGACATTCTGAGATTTTGTTTCCACATTAAATAAAATCCAAGCTCACTGCTCTAAGACTTTGTGGACTGCCTTCATTATAGTTGCCATATTTTAACAATTCTTGCTCTTATACTTATTCATATATTCCCCAAATGATGCTAAACTACGAAAAGTTTCTTAGAGGAAATGAGTTTTGAAGGCCCTGCAGTAGATAATGACCTTGAAAAAAGTTATAGCTAGATAATAGTTGTTGGCTTGGCTAAAGAGGAGAGATCACAGATTATGAATTAAAGAGAAAGGCATTTGCTAGAAACAGCTAATTAAGGACCTTGTATGCTAGGCCTCAAAGTTTAGTTTCTCTAGAGTTCAATATGTAACAAATGAATTTTTTTATTTTCAGTTGTTGTTGTTGTTTTGTTTTGATTATTGTATATACTGTTTTTCAAAATAATTAGTATTTATTTTCCAACACCACAATAAGTAAAAGTAGTCCATAAGAAAGTAAGTAGTGGTTCGACAGATAATACATTTGGATATGCATTATTAAAAATACTTTTTTTCTGAATAAAAAAATAGAGGTGGGGAAGCTGTCCTTATGTCAAATCTGACTCATTTTAACAGTTCCTCTTGAAAATTAGCAGCTGTAATTAGTGGAAAATTTTAAAGGTGCAATGTTGTAGTTGTCAGCTCTAACAAGTTTTAATTATACTTTTTATTTTAAAGCGATCAACTTTAAAGAAGTTGAATTTTTATTATTTCCAGAAGAAAAGCACAATGACATAGTTAACATGTTAGTTGCAGATCTGTTTCAAACATCATTTGATTTTATGGAATGGGATTGCTTCAATATTTTCAACACCGTGCTGGATTACAGGCCTTCAAGATGTATAATGATTATCCAGTAGACATAACCCTCCTACTTTCGCTAACTTATATTTGTTCTTGACATATTTACATATTAATTAAATCATCCCATAAATCAACATAGGTTTCCTATTCAATAAAAAAATGGTCAATTTTAGCACTTGAAAATCAATCATAATAATATGTGGAAAATAAGTGTTAATTGGGATATGTGTTTCTTGAACATGTTATCAAGAATTATAAAATTTTCCCTCAAAATTTTATAACCAGAATATTAAACAAAATGTCTTGAAAATAGTGAATTATCATTGAAATACTCTTCTAAAGCAGACTATTCATTATAAATTACAAGAAAAAATTACTTGTTATCAAGATAGAAATGACCATAAAATAAATTGTTTACCAAAAACAGTCTTTAAATATTATAAATCTAATTTAAGTCGATTAAAATTATATGAAGTGTTCAGTTGATGAGAAGTTATTTGGGCTTTGCATGTGAAATTGTGATGTAAAATTTTTTAGGTGGAGCCAGCACCGCGGCTCACTAGGCTAATCCTCCGCCTGCAGCGCCTGCACACCGGCTTCTAGTCCTGGTCGGGGCTCCGGATTCTGTCCCAGTTGCCCCTCTTCCAGGCCAGCTCTCTGCTGTGGCCAGGGAGTGCAGTGGAGGATGGCCCAAGTGCTTGGACCCTGCACCCCATGGGAGACCAGGATAAGTACCTGGCTCCTGCCTTCGGATTAGCAGGGTGCGCTTGCCACAGCGAGCCGGGTGCGGCAGCCATTGGAGGGTGAACCAAAGGCAAAGGAAGACCTTTCTCTCTGTCTCTCTCTCTCACTGTCTAACTCTGCCTGTCAAAAAAAATTTTTTTTAGGTGGTAGAATTGCTCATAATTGAGATACAATATGCAAATGATTACAATTTTTTTAAGGCTTATTTTCATAGAATACTAGAACAAGAAATGATCTTGGAGATAAACTCTATTCACCTTCAATGAGGAAGTGAAACATAGAATGATTAAATGACATGTAGAGTCAAAGCTACTTAAAGGTAGAGTTAATACTAGAATTCAATTCCCATTATTTTTCCATAGGCTTATAATTATCTTTGTGAATGCGGGATATACAAACACATTTGTTCTATTTTTGTTAGTTTAATAATACATTTACAAACATATACAACACTTATTTGGTACCAGGAACTGTTCTAAGCATTTTACATGTATTAATTCACTTAGTCTTCATAATAATACTATGAGGTAGATATCTATTCTCTACATTTTACACAGGGACACATATAATTTAATTAGCTTGCAGAAAATCACACACCTAATAAGTGGTGGATGATTTAAAATCAGACAGTCTGCCGTCCTAGCCTATACTCCAGCATCTTAGACTAAAATTCAAATAAGTTCATCTGTCCCAGGCAGTTAATAGAGTTAATATTTGAGATTATAGCATTTTATGATTTTGATGGTTTTTAGTCCTGAAAATTAATGATTATCTCAATTTTGATGTCAAATACATGTAGCAATAGCTTTAAGTGAATGATTTTGGTACAATGCTTGTGAATCCCTGAATGAATGATTTGTCTAAAGTCATCAATATTGTTAATAAAGAGAGTGCAAAATGGATTTCTATGGAATCCTTCAGTTAATTGTGTATGGGGCAATTTTCATTTATTTTAAAATTAGAATATTAAATCAAAAGTTTACTTAAATGATGCCTCTATGAAATGGATTTTTTGTTAGCATGGTAGTATTAGCTATCAACTAATTATTTTTCAAACACTTGATAATGACTGTATAAGCAGTTGATTTTACATTTTCTCATTAATGTGTAGCACATAAAACAGAAATAAAAAATCTTATTTGCTAGCTTATTTTAGCGTGTGAATTTAATTGCTACTTTGAAAGTAACATTGAGCAAAAATATGCCCTTTAAGAGATACCATATTTGGATAGGTTGACATACCAACATATTGACACACTAGGAAAGAAATAAGTAACTATAAATGCAAACCAATTATAGTAACATTATGTACTGAATATGGAAAAGGTAAAAAATGTTTTTTAAAACATCTATTTTATTAATTTGAAAGAGGGAAAGAGAGAGAGGAAGCGACACAGATCTTCAATCCGCTGGTTTACTTTCCA